CGTAGATCCCCAGACAATAATACAATAATGAAGATAAGGATAAACTAAACAATAATAAAGAGTTTTTAGACACGGCTTAGGTAGAAAAAATCTTGCTCTATTAATGACACCTATTGATTTCGAGATTTTACGAGCTACTCGAGAAATGTGCGGTTTCCAAGACAGATGTTCATCAAGGACTACACCGAGGAAGACCGTTTCCTTAACCTGTTCGATTCTCTGTTCATTTATGCATGTTTGCATTGGAAAATGATACCTTTTCTGTCTAGGCTTGAATAACATAAAGTTTGTTTTCTTCAGGTTTAAGGAGAGTTTGTTTGCCTTAAACCAAGTGGATAATTTATTAAGTTCGGAATTGAGTGAGGCTGCCGAGTAGACAGGATCTTTATGGGACATAACTAATTAGTATCATCAGCGAATAAAATCAGCTTGACGAGAGTTGATACGTTATTTAAATCATTAATATAGAGCAAGAAAAACAAGGGGCCCAAAATGGATCCCTGGGGGACACCACAGCAGATAGTTTGAGGAGAGCTGTTGCAGTATACCACTTCCCATTTACAACTGGAGGACAATTAAAAGGGAACTTAGCAGAGAAAAAAATTGGTCCAAATCAAGAGTCAGGTCTAATCAATGATTATTCGCTAACGGCATGGAGCAAAAACAAAAAGAAAATCATAACTTGAAGCATGTAATAATTTAGCTCTTTGTAGAAAACAACACGTGTTAATCCATGCTTACCCTCCTTTCACCTGCATCTATGTCTTGTCCGGACATTTTTTGGTGTTGCTGGTTGTTGCGTTTTTGCCATTTTTTCTTGGATTTACCTGCAGTGAGGTTTTATTTTTACGAATGAAGCCAAAAAATAGTGAATTTAAGGTTGCATTAAGTTAGTTATAACAGCACGCATGCTTGCGCTCTATGAGTCCTATTGAGTCACTGTGAACAAAATCTTTATTTATGCATGGGCGTGCGGAAATAAATATTTTGTTCATGAAGACGTGTTCAGCTGTGTTTTTCGTCTATTTTCCTAAGTACCCAATCATCGACAGCAAAGATAAAAAACTTTCTAGACTTTTTCTGGAATTTAGCTTCGTTCTAGCCACTCAAACCAACAGCAGAAGCGGTGAAGATGTTTCTCAAATAATAGAGCCTCAATGAGTCATTGAAAAGTCTGCCGTAAAGACTGACATTTAAGGGAAAAAAGACCACAAATTGGTCTATGTTGGAAAATAATCCAATTTGTATAAAGTGTCCTCCCTTTTTAACGTTTGTTTTATATTCTACAAACCAAGTTTATTATAAAGTAAGCTCAACAGCGAAAAGTTATGCACTTTTGTTCTCGCTGAACAATCCGACTGAAGTGGGAAAATTTCCCTTGCAATAAGAAAACAAATTACACGAGAAGACAAATTTGTTACTCACAAAAAACAACTGCTGCCAGGTCTTTTCAGGAAGCCGTAATAACCAGCCATTGCTCGTAAATGAATATAAGGTTAAAGTAGGATGACAGTCATCTACGGTAAAAAACAAGTTTTCTAGATTTTGCCAAGCAAAACATAAACATCTTTTAATGAAATCCAAACCATACTCCACGACTTCTTGCGAACATGTGAGTATTTTAACTTTAGGTGGACTTTAAGACTCTTACTTTTGTTTCTTGTTGGTTTTCATTGATCGTTAACGAATAAATAAGGAAATTTTCTTTCTCAGTTTTACAGAAAGAATTGTCATTCAAACTCAAGTGATTGTGGCTTGTTTGCAATCAGCCAAGAGAGGCGTTTGTTGTTGTTGCATGTTATGAGAATGTTGCAGTTAATAGAAAAGCAAGCATTTTTGTCAGCTATGTTGTAGAAGAATTTCGTCATGCTTTTAGCTGTGCGTATATTGAGTTATGGATGCACTTAGAAGTTTGGAGAGCACTCAAGAAGCTAGAGTTGTACGCGGATATCGCCTCGTGCAACTCCTACGCATCTTTCGTGCTCTCCAAACTCCCCGCATGCGTGCATAACTTGATATATGCACACTAAGCATGAACAAATTCGTAATTTTTTGTATTGTTGTAAAGTTGTGTACCATTCACATCACCGTTATTAAACTTACGATGAGGCAAAGAAAAGTTGGGTAAAAGAGTGTGCAATCACAGTTCTGCTCCAGTTTGTTATAATTTTTCCAGATTTATCACAGGGTAATCGAAATTTAAAGTTAGGAAAGAGAGCATGCGGTCACAGCGTAATTAAAATTTAAAAAACCTTATGCAAATGTAGCAATAGTGCTGAAACCAAACTGACAATAACCAATTCGAAATTTAAAAAAATAGCACTTCAAAGAGCATAAAGAATTGCACATCACGTTTAAACTTGATAGTTACCTGGTGGATACGAGATAAAATTTTGAAATAATGCCAGGTGATCAGTGAATATTCATTAATTGCCCTGATGAATGATGGACAGAACATTCAATATTCCTCATCAGCATTCACGCCCAATATTGCCGTTTAAAGTCGGCAGGTTCACGCTGTTTCTCCCTGAACCTCGAAAGACGTGAATTAAAACTAGAGCTCTCGAAATCTCCCACAGATTCATCAATCACAGAAGTTGTGGGAAGAGCCAAAAAAATTTTACATTAATGCACTCTTCCAAAATTTGAGCACATACCTTTCTTTGTCTGTTCAGATACTGAATAGCATGGATTCTTCTTAGGTAGATGTGGTTACTTTCTTAACCAAAGACAATACTGTGGCTTGTATTTCTGAGGTGATGGTAAATTTCCTGTCCCCCTCACCAAAATAACCAAATCTGAAGGTGGTGTCTGATGCCAGCAATAGATCATCTCGGTGTTGCTCTAACAGATACTCTCTTAAGTGTCACTGCCACTAAGGACCAGGCAGGGTCCGCGGATCGAGGTCGGCCGATTACCTCCAAATTTTTAGCATTTTTTCTCTATCAGATAAGATTACGATCAGTGGTATTTTTAGTAAAATAAAATTAATTTCTTAGAATTTTGACCACCCCCCTAGTTTTTGGTGCTATTTTGCCCACGTGAGATGGAAAATTTGGGTAAACTTCCACGACGCATTTTATTTACTTGGCATTAGCCCTATTCATTTATTCGAACTGTACATACTTTCCAGCCTATAACCAGCTCATGTCTCCAATATAAACGAATTTGGTTAAAAATAACTTACTTTGGAGTGCTTCCAAATATCATCACTTCGTGGCTATCGCAAGTAAGAAGAATTTTGGCAATTTTCCAGTCTGGTTTTCTCTAAAGTGCGGCAGTTTATATCCAGATCAAAACTATTTTTTATCAGTCTGTCATAAAGTCTTTACAAATACGCAAACTCTTATTTGGCAAGTTAAAATCTCGTCGCGTGAGCTTTCTCACAACTTTAACCTAATTTCCTAATTTGCATAGTTGTAGTTTTCCCGGAAAAAATTTCTCGCTTGATTTGCGACTTGTTGCAGGCGTTTATTGGCTTCTTTACTATCACTAAGAGAAAAACATTACTTTTTCAGATAAGTGGCCATAGTTCATCGGCCTATTTTCTCATTTGGTAGGTCAAAATCCCATTCCGTAAGCTTTCTTCAAATTTAACTAATTTGCATGTCGAATTTCCCCGGGAAAACTTCACCTGTCTGTTGATATTATATACAAGCGATGATAACCCTGCACGTAATTAATTATTAATTTTTATGAGGTTCTTGTTTTTGAAACTAATTGTTGTTTCGATCTTGCAGACGTTGACAGTCCACAAATTTGGGGCGAACATAACAATTCTGTCATTTCACTAAACATGGACATGCAAATTAATATGCCAGACAGGCTCAAGATTGTGTTTTGTAAAGTAGTGAATAGTTTTGGAGACTAACAGAGTTAATGTTTTCTCCACGTGTGATGGAAGGCAAACAGGCTGCCAAAATGACAGTCAATTCGTGGCAGAGGAAATGCAATTCGAACAGATGCGCAAATTAGTGAGTCGAAACTTAATGCATTATAACGTAATAGATTTGTCACAACGTTTCTAAAGTTGATCAATCCTTGTGCATTGCTGCTGAAATCTTCCGGCACTGCTCTTTTGTCTAGGAAGAAAACCGAATTGGTTTCATCCATGATAGCATTCAAGCATAGCGACGGACAGTTGGTGTTTAGCAGTATGTAAAAATCCTTGCAGTTTTTTTTTACTGTGTTTACCATAGCATTCATCCAGTTTGCAGTCTTATATTGCTCACGATTTTTTAAATTTACAAGTATTTATAAACCCTGTTATCTAAGGGTCTCCCTGTACCTATCTAAAAGGCCCCAATGGAGAAGATTGGGGTAGAAGCATAGAGATCCTCCCTACTAAAACCATGTAACGTTATTTTTGAAAACACGTGCAACTCTCAGAGAATTTTTGAATGGCCTCAAAGAAAGTTTTTTTTCTTGACGGTGGTCCGCTTGTCGTCAGGTGTAGCTGATTGCAGATTTCTTTCAGAGCTGCCAGTTTGAGTGAGTCAAGCTTCTTGTTTTTTACAAGTTCGCAGATATTGCTAATGCCCACGATGATTGGATGGCTTGGTTTGCCCATATCATCCATCACCAAACTTCTAAGGGTGTCAAACGCTATTTCCGACTCGGCAGCCTCGATGTCTTCCTCCGAGATTTCCTCCGCATCAATACCCCTAAGACGCAGCGCCGCTGTCTGGCGTGAAAACAGGCTACTGATCTGCTGCGCGCAGTCCTCCACTCTTCAGGCTTAAACGTGAGCTCTCCGTCCTCATTTCTGAGGGTCTTCATCTCCCTCGCTACCCGTACAGGATCGGCCTTGTTTCCAGTTCTTGTACCCTCTTCGAATTTCTTCATCAAGAAGGTCTTGACGTTATCAGTCATTCTAGTGGGTCGTTTTGTTACCTTCAGAGCCCACCCCAATGGTCTAGGGTCATGTTCTCTGAAAGCGCTGCCACTATTCTCACCTTGCGATGAGGTTGTTGGCACATCCGGAGCGAACGTCACCCCTGTCACAATTCCCGCCCATTTCCTCCTAACGCGGTCATACATGGACTCACAGTCCACCTCAAGACAGTGCTTGCCCGTGTCCATATGGTTGTCTGCCTCTGCTTGGGTCTTGAACGTGAGGACGCATCCAGTCTCTTGGCAAGAGTAGATCTCGGACTGGTGCCTGACGCCTCACCCACGCTTCCCCTGTGTGTAGCTTGACCAAATGGCTTTACCACCCTTATTCCAGTATCTCCTTGTGGTGTAACTCCAAGACCGCTATAAGGGATGAGGCGTCCAGGGCCGATGTTGTACGCTTTCCACACACGGATGCCACACTCCTCATACTGGAAATTGTTCAACACACTAATGCCTGGTATCTTGCTATCTTTGTTTCTTTCCCTGGTCGTGTCCACCTCAACGACCGCTGCTCTGCACCCTTTGATACCTCCATGGGATTCTAGTGCTGCTTTCATATCTTCAGCAGTGACGACGTCGTGCTTTTCGTTGACCCAGCGCTTTATGTGTGCCTTCATAGCAGCAGTCTTCCTATCACAAATGTCCTTGCCAGCCTGTGGTTCTGAGAAATCATATCGCACTGGCCTGACACCGGTTCTCACCCCTACTTCTCTAAGACTTAACAACAGAGGCCCATTGTGGTAACATCCAGCGTTATCCGATCGGAGGTAGGCTGTTGTCACCCCTGGATACTCCAGTTTGACTTTTTGCAGCAAGTCCTCTATTATTGAAAGAACTGCAAAGCTATTTTGGGTGCAGTTGTTGAAAATGTGTACAAAACACTCGACTTCATGCTTGCTCTCCACTGTTGCTCTAGTGATTACTGCACTGATATGCCAGCTTCTTCCTCTCTTGCCAAAAAAATCACTCATGTGTTCTCTGTATTGCACAGGCAGAAACTTCATTGCCCAGTCCATTATAACAAGACACGAGTTGTCGTCTAGCTTCTCGAGAATATGCTGCTTGGCTTTGTCCTGGTTACTTGACCGTAGTAAGTGAGCCTTCCACGCTTGTATGTTGCGCACACTCTCAGTGTACTCAAACCTCCACCTAACCCTCTCCTCTTCCGTCATGTCCGCTTTGTCTGGCATCTCTGCCACTTGTTTCAGTACTCCTTCTAGACTCTCACAGCGCTCACATTCGTAGCAATGTTCATGATCACATTCGCCCCTGAACTCCCATGCACTACTGTCACTTAGTGCGTGGACCGTACAGTGATCACTGCAATGTTCTCCTCGTCCGATGTGTGCCTTGAAATCATTCTTTAAGTACCTTTTTGCATCCTTTAGAAATTTCTGAGTGGCAGTAACGTTAATGCCCTGATCTGCTAAGGCCTCCAACATAGAAAAGAGTTGATCAAAAGCCTCTGTACCCTCTGCAGTGGTGTTGTGAAGTCCCTGAAGGGATTTCTGCATAGAGGCCGAACACACTTCAATCATTCGGTAGAGAGAACGCTGGCTCGCCGGCTCGAACTCTTGTTCTTTACAATAGTCTAAATATTGTCTGATGATGCGTGAAGGAATGACGGTCCTAATGACTGCTGGTATGACAATTTTCTCCCCCGAGTCAAGCTTGAGAGTCTTTGTCCCGAACGCCTCGTCTTGAACAAATTCTGGTCTGGAGATATATTCAATGAAATGATCCACCTTTTCATGCTCAATTCTTGTACGGAAACTAGGAATTTCAGGGAGAGGCTGGCCTTTCCCTGCTTCTGTTGCATGTTGGCGAGCTTGGTCGATGCGCCATTTGGAAAGCCCAGGGATCATCTTTTGAAGCTCAGCTCTTGAAAAGTCGTCTGCAAAGAGGGAAAGGATCTGTCGCTTTGTTTGCCAATGACCTGCTTGCTCATAGGCCTTGACTAAAATGTCGACAAGACCAGAGTTGGGATCAAAACGCTTGTGCTTTCCTTGTTTGTCTCTGTTTGGATCCAAAAGTACCTCCGTTTGTAACGCCTTCCAAACCAGTTCCTCTTGACCGGGAGTGATGACAGACAATGAAGTCACTATAGTCTCCTTAGCTTTGCGGATGTAATATCGCTGCTGGGTGTCGGAGACGTCGTCCCAGGTCGTGTTCAGGCTGGACATTACGGGGCTGTAGCGGCCACCTGAGATGCTGTGGACAGCTTCGTTTAATTTCTGCCGTTTGCTGTTTTGTTCCTCCATCTCGTCAACCCATAAACTAATCTCTTCGTCTGGTATCGAGGCTTGGGACGAATGTGATTGCAAAGAGACTGTTTCTGACCCCTCACCAGTGCTTGAGGCCGCTGCACACACCGTGGCTGGCAATGTGCTCTCCTCACAAACAGTAATGACAGAGACAGTGGCAGAATCAGACTCCTCGATCTCGTCTCCAATCACCAAGGTGTCTGAGTAAGGATCCTGAAGCGTAATAAAATAGATTAGCAAATTATGGACAAGATCGTCAACAATTCCACAAAGATCTCCAATACATGTAACTGTGGAAACTCTATATGTGTTTCCAAGCCGCTGCCAAAGGGTGCCCTCGCATCTTTGTTGTTGCTGGTCTCTTCAAGCACTGGTCAAGACCAATTTGTTATTCAGAAAACATTCAGATGTAGTCGAGTAATTGTTCTCGACGCGCGATCTGAAAACTCTAGACATGGCTATCATTATAACTAGGTCCCAAGCCTCTTGGAAATCGACCACAACTTAACGATTCCAAATGGCTACCCATTGAAGAAAATACAGGAAAACCAACAAAGGTACGTGTTATTCATGTTGTCAGTTGTTATAGATATCAGTGCACCTGTTGGCGGTATCAAAACATCCTCTGATTATATGGTCAGTTACACTATGCTTATATTAGTTACACTAAGCTGTGAATGGCCAATGTGTACTACAGTCTCAGTCAAAATGGTTGGGACACTTTGGGGTCTCCTTGTCCCCTCAATGTTGGTGTACAAGATTTGGTGACCGAACCGCGATAAACAACTTTGAGAGGGACGAGGTGAGCACGAGAAGGGAAAAAACAGCGTTTGGCTAAAGTGTCCCAACTATTTCTGTCTGAGACTGTGTCGGGGAGGAATTTGAAGGCGTGTTGACAGATACAGAGGTTAATCTGTAGGTCGGTCACAAGCGACGTTCTTTTGGTTTGTTGGGCGTCCATTGTGTTTCGCGAACGTTTCTATAGCAGTTAACTAAGTTATTTGGGCATAACAACATAACACAAAGAATGACCAGTTCGCAGAAATTTCTTGGGCAGAGTAGAGTATTGGAAAATAAAGGGAACTGAGTGTGCAGTAAACCGTACACAAATAGCTTTCTAGTGGCCGATTGATAGCGTGACAACATAGCACGTCGCGTTACTATCTACGTAAGATTCGGGCTTTTCGATTATACGGAGAGGCGCCCAATGTGCCACATTTCTGGAAAAAATGTGTGGAAAATAATAAAGAAGGTCTCTTTGGCAAGAAAGAGTATAGGAACAAGGCTCAAAGGGACGCCTTTCTAACTTAACGGAAAGAGGCGAAAGACAGCCGAAAGACCGATTAAGCGATGTCGAGAGAAAGGGGGAAACTTTTTCTCCACTTTGGAGGAAAATGCAACAAGCCAGGATTATTCCTAAAACGTATCAGCGAGAACAGTATCCCGCTTTCTAAATTTCTAAAGATACTATTCAGGACTAAAAGCGCGTAGAAAGGGTGTCCAACAATAGTGTAACTGTTTGGTCCGACGCCAAAAGGTTTCTTAATGATATTCCAGGCTACTACCGTGAAATCGACAACTTTTTATAAGTTGCTTACAACATATGTTAATTTGGCCTT